AATATTATTTACTATCAGATTGAACAATAACAATTGGTTTTTTATAATAATTATTAGAACTATTATAAATAAAGCAATCTGTAGACTTATTAATATCATTATAAAACATAGCAAAATTAGGATAACTAAAAGTAGCATATATTGAATATGTAACATAACTTAAAATAGAATTTTGAATAAATATCATGTTTTAATGAAAAAATAAAACTATTTTAGCAACTAACATAATTATTTTTGCTATTATCCTATGCAATTGAATAATATCTACTAAGAATTCTTTCAATATTATTATTGCCTTTTATATTTATAATAGTAATAGTATTTGCTTTTATATTTGCATAAATTCCAAAAAACTTCAGAAGTAAATCTATCTCTACTCTCATGAAGAAGCAATTTTAATTCATATGAGTTGTCTTTTATATTATATGTAATAGTATTTTTATTGATCTATATTGTAATTTCTGCTACTTGTTCATTAATAACTATTAAAAATAATTCTGTTGATCAAGTTGGTAAATCTGGCTTTAGAATAATACAAGACAGTAGAATTATTAATATAATTTTATGATCAGATGATAAAAAACTTTTAGTCAGATCTTTCCAAAGATTACTATCAAGAATTTGAAAATATAGGAATATATAATCTCTGATATCTTTGCTAGACATTTGAAAATAACAAATATGAGATAAGCAATTTTCAGTATAGCTTTTAGAGTCATAAAATCTTCATCAGACCAGTTATCAGAATTAGAAGGCAATTCCTTAGGAATTTGTGAAATTTCCTATTTGATAATATAATTCCAAATCTTTATATCTTCCATTTGCAAATTGTCACATTTGATAAGTGAAATCAATGCATTCTCATTAAGAGAATTAAAGTCTTCAGAATCAAAAATAATATTTAGGCATTTTACTAAAAATATTGTTGCACCAAGTTTGTAATTCTTTTTAATTTGCTATTTTGAAAACATGTCTTATAAACATGAGTAAAATGAGAGCGTAACCAATAGGCTTTATAATAGGCAAAATCTGTATATCTTTTTACTACAGTATAAAGTAAAATTTTAAATAAATATATATTGATTATAAAAATAACTATTTAGAACAACAAATTTGCATTTACATTTAACCACCCACACAGTCTGTACATTATTTATAGGAAATTTAAAAAATCAGCAATTAATCATTTCTATCCTGTGTATCCCGTGGAATATTTTGAAAATCCACGATTTGCTCATCACTAATTGATAGTCTTTGACTTTATTAAAAAACCATTAGACATTGCATCTAAATATTGACAAATTTATTGCTTCATAATTTAATGAGTTTCTTGCATTAATTGGAGATTCATTTAAATATCCTTTACAGAAAGGTAAGTTGACAGATAGATTATCAAATAAGTCAATATATTGGATAGGAAATAGATGTTACCTTATTCGTTAGCAAGACTATCGCAATTTTTACGATTGTTGATTATACAGTTACACTGCTTAAGAAGTTTAAGCAAGATGCTAGTCTTTTAATAACAATCTTCTAAGGATTGATAGGGTCGTTTCTTAATTATAATATCAGCATATTTGCGACCAATACCATCGATACCAGAAAACCAATCACGACTTGCTGTGTTAATATCCGGTGGTTCTATATTGGCATAAATAAAGGCTCTACTAGCAAATGGACCAAAATATTCCTTCCAGTTATTTTGATGAACTATCCCTGAACGTGCTGGAAGCTGTGAAACATCTATATGACTTTTTTCTGTTGATACTAGAAGAAATATATCATTAATGCCAACAGCTTTGCTCCTTTCCTCAAGATACATATTGAGTAATATATTGGTTTTACGATCAAGCTTCTTTGTCTGCAAAACCTCTGTGATATTTCTTTCTTGTCCCGTGGATGTTTCTTCTGTGATGTAACAAAATACATCACCAGCAGAGGCACCTTCACCATTTAAAATCAAGTGCTGTCCATCAGTAGCATCTATTGTTCCATTTTCGTGTATAATAGAAGCTACACTACCAGACTTAGTACTAACCCGAGATGAAGAAGAAACAAGTCTGAATGGCTTAGACTTGAGGTAAATGTTATTGTCATTGCGTGAATCAAATGCACCACCCAGGTGTATTGTGTGGATGGTGAGTTTTACATTTTCTTTATATATTAATGACTTTAATACTCGGAAGTCTGCCACAAACTGTTCAAAATTCTGCCAAAGTTGCGCACCTAGTAGAATTTTTTCAGGATTATGGAGGTGTTGAATTTCATTGTAATCATCAAATCTCCAATTTAAAAGAATTGGGTCATCAACGGCGCGTGCCATCAACCATAACCACACATAAGGGCAAGTTAATCTGCCAAACTCACTATTTTTAATTTCAAATCGAATTAAACCCATTTTGGCAAATTGGTCTGGGCGCAGATTAGTACCTGGTACGAGATCATGAATGCTAAGTGGTGTGTTACCCAAAATTACTCTTAATAGTACTTTGTAGGAGCCAGAATGAGCAAGAACATTACTGTAAATATCTTCTAATTCCACAAGCAATTGATGAATAATATCACTAACACAACAATCATCAATATTCGATGGCATCACCTGTTCTAATACTTCCAATGCACGTCTATTTCCACCCATATCTCCAACAAGAATCTTCACAAGAGGTTTTTTGATATCAAACACCGGTCTCTGGAAACGGGTTGGAGCCTTCAATTGTGGAATAGGCAATTGAATAAATAATTGTCGGGAACTTGCCAAAGTATCTTACATAGGCTTCATATTTGTTGCAGAACAGCATCCAATGATGAATGATTTGGAACCAATTATATTGTTTGCCATGGCCGTGAGACAGGAATAAATTTTGATAGAGGTTATATAGAGTTTAGAACAGGCTTTATTTTTTCGTAGGATAAAACTGGTTTTTAACATATGAAAAATAAACTCGGTTCCAAACTATAGCAGAGAATAGATAATCGAAATTAAAAATCGATTAATCGATTCTTCTAGGGTGGCATGCTTTAAAAATAATGCATATTTCTTAAATCCTTAATTC